GCGTAAAGATTTTATAGTTTTTAATATAAGTTTTCCTCAGTCAAAAATGGTATTTTGAGATTATCAAAAAGTTTTTTTTTACCTTCAATTAGATAAACCAAGCTTTAAAAATCAAGTTTTGCAGTATTATGCAAAATTATGCAGAACCAATTAAAATCATAAAATTTTGTATATTTCAGAATTTTAGTAAGTATTTGGTTCAGCTGTTCCAGACTAAACTTGAAGAAGCAGAAGAGGATAAAGTATTGTATAGGTAGCTGCTGGTAAAAAAGGGGGAAGTAAGGCACGCCACACCCGTTTTTCATCCTTGCTGTAAATGACAAAATGGATTTGCCGCAACGCACTTCGTTTGGTCTTTCTGGAAAAATGTTTGGTCTCTGGTCTGTAATTTAGTTTTTGATAGATGTGCATAATGATTTGGCAAAGAAAACACCAAGTTTAAACTATGGGAAATATGAAATAAAATATTCACAGTCGCCTCTAAAGTGTCAATCTTTGTGGATAACCCTGTAGTTATTCCGTTGCTAAGTTAGTAACTTAAAAGTTTTTTCAGTATCGGGTACTAAATAGGTAGTTTTTAGTTAAGTAGAATGCAGAGGTAGGTAGGTAGGGTGGTAGGGTGGCAGGAACGGATAGGTCGTAACACAAGAAGTAGATGCAANGGTAGGTAGGTAGGTAGGTAGGTAGGTAGGTAGGTAGGTAGGTAGGTAGGTAGGTAGGTAGGTGGAATTATGTATTTGTATGTAAACACAGTGGCAGCTTATGGGCAGATATCCCCGGATAAAAAATACCCCTGAAAAGTTTCATATTTTCAAAATTTGTTTTTTAATATTTTTTTTTAGATTTGAGAATCCGTTCACGAGACATGATAATAAGAACTTTTCTCTTCTCCCTCTCAGGAACTCAGAATTTCTCGAATGACTTTTTTTTGTTGTGTACAAAAACATTTATTTAAATTGAAAGGTCAATTGTTTATCTTTTTCGTTAAATAATATTTAAGACCGAAATTATGAATGAATTGCCAGGGATAAAGTTATTGTGCTACATCAACTATGTGAATATAGATTAGAGGTAAAAATATTTTATCTTATAAAAATGAAACTAATAACTAATAATTGATTTCTATAAATAAACCGTGTTCAATACAATATTTAAAAAATTTCCGAACTGAAAACTTCGTTTTTCGCCCTCTTAGCCCCCACCCCCCTTCAAAAGTAACACAAAGAGATGCCTGCATAATAATAAAAGGAGAAAAAATAAAACCCCTTGACCTGAATTCAGGAAAGAAGCCCAAAGGAGTTACGCGCGTATGCCGCGTTGATTATAAGACAGAGAGAGTCTGTTCTAGTCAAAGCACTCGGTCCCCTAGTTTGTCCTAGCCGCAGCGCTCGGCCCGGAAACTGTCATAATCTAACCTAACCCTAAAATATATACTTATCTCTCTCTTTCTTGTAATTTGACGCGGCAAGCGTGCGAACTCCTTTAGGCAACTGCCTGAATTTCTTTGCCATGCTTCTATTAAAAATGCGGGAAAGTTTGACTTGAATTGTGTACACCCTAGGCGCCAGATGTAGCGGATAAAGTACGAAATCTTGACGCGGCAAGTCTGCGCGTAGAACCCCTAGGTGTAGACTCAGAAGGGTCAACTCTCTGGTACTTCTACGGAACTAGGTTATACAAGGTAATAACTATGAATCTACCAGTTAACCCTAATTTCTGTTTAAGAAAAATAACAACAACTAAATGTCAGTTTTTTGTCGAAGCTTTTTTAAAAATATTTTTTTTTTGTAGGAAACGAGCAGAGATCCTAGCAGAGCAGAGAGAAAACGGAAACGCAAACACAAAAAGGTATTTTCAATTGAGATTGGATGTGTACGTTTTCCTTTTTTTAAGAACTCCCTCCCCCCCGCCATCAAGACATGGAGATTAAAAATAAAAATCGGGCATGAACTGGCAA